CCCAGTAAAGTTGATGCATCAAACTAACCATCATACTTTCCTTAAGAGCATATAATGGCTATGTCTTCTTCTTGCCCTTTTTTTTTTTTCTTTTTAGCCAAACTTTTTATTCATTTCAATACTCTTTCTTGGACTTAATCTTATTCTATCATTTCTTGGACACAGAGAGAAGGGAAGGAAAGGCTGACTTTAGTGCCAAATTGCTCCGAGGCACTACAAAAGTCTTTTAGGGCTTATTTCTGTTATAAAATAAATACATGTTTACATTAAAAAATGCAGATAATAGAGATAAGCAAAAGAAGGAAATAAATGTTTTCCTTAATTCAAGAGGCAGAGGTAAACTCTATATAGCCTTTTAGACTTTTCTGTATGTAGTCATATAAAATTTATATATGATACTCATTCTCAGTGCTATCATTTTTCATTTACACACCCATACACCTATGAAAGGAATATTTTTCATTTTTTCACAGTATTCGCTTTATGAATATCCCATAATCTGTTAACTAATTCAAGATTGGATACCAAGATAATTTCCATTTTATGCTGAGACACCACTTTGGACATGCAGCCTTGCATACATGTCTAATTATCTTATAAAAAAACACAGGTGAATTTTTATTTTCCAATTACAGCAACTCTAAAACCATTTTGCCTCATTTTCACCTTCTCATCCTGTGTTTTCTTCAACTTTCTAAAACAAATCTTTTAATTTAGTGAACTTGGGTTTACATTGTCGTGTATTCTTTACTTTTTCATGTGTGTCATTTTAGTCCTCCAGAGAAGCTATGAAGTTCTTGAAGGGAAGAATCATATTTTATGTTTTCATATAAAGATATAAGCAAATAATCACATAATTAATTTGAATTGTTCATGAAACATACTGTGGGTTGTTAGACTATTCTTAGTTCAGTAGTCTACCACCTAAAGAAACAATTTTACAGAGTTCCTACAGCTTTGAAAATTTGATCACTCACCACTTAAATGTGAATAGTGAGTTTCTCAATCTTCCCATTGGATGACACATATTATTGAGGATTTTGTGTAGAATATTGCCGTGGTCATGTCTGAGAGTGCCATGTAGCACAAGAGACTGTTTCTACATCTAAAGATATAGCAGACAACCTAGGTCACATATAATAGGTTAAAAATTATTCTAGACACTCTTGTGCTTGCCCTGGTATGATGTTCCATGAAGAAATTATTCCATTTAAGGAATGGCACGAAGGTTTCCCTTTGTGAATATGACATTCACTGTCACTTTATTGTTTGGATTTTTATTTGACATTTGGTCTTATGATGTAGACTTTCTATAGACTTGATTAAATAAATTATGGATAGAAAATATTATTGCATTCTAATTATAGAACTCTTTTCTGGTAATTATGAATAAATACTAATAGGCTTTGGAATAGTCACTAAGTTTAAATTGAACATGAAAGTAGAACAAGCATTAAAGAAATGTAAGTGTAGGATGCCTGGGTGGCTCAGTCAGTTAAGCATCTGCCTTCAGCTCAAGTCATGTTCCCAGGGTGCTGAGATCGAGTCCCACGTTGGGCTCCCTGCTCAGCGGAGAGCCTGCTTTTCTCCTTCTCCCTCTGCCTGCTGCTCTACTTGTGCTCCCTCTGTATCTCTCTGTCAAATAAATAAAAATCTTAAAAAAAAAAAAAAAAAGAAATGTAAGGTAAGGGTAGGCTGAAACTTTGGGAGGAAAACACCTAGATTGTAAGACTCTGCCTGAATCCAGTTGGAGATTTGGACACATACAACTCTCTAGTATGTCAGTTTCCCAAGGTGATGCAATTAGGCATTAACATAATTCAAATATATAAGCAGGGATAATTACTGTGACTAAGAGGATTAAGGAAGGAGTCATTGGGTAAAAACATGGGAGCAGGGACTTGAGAGAGAAGTAGGATTTGGTGTGTGAGTAGTGGAAAGTGAATTATGAGTGTTAGGGCTAGAATGAAGAGACAGTATAAATATCTGAACATACTTATTCCTAGAATGTTAAAGGGTCTAGTGTAGTGGGGAAAAAAAGATGAGGGGGGAGGAAAATGATTGAAGAAACAAAAATGGAAGCGTGACCTGACTCAGGACTATTCAGTGTCACTCGAAGCAGTTTAGGATTCATTCTCTAGGTACTGGAAGGCAACTCTGGGACAAGATTTTAAGCAGAGAATGACATGATTGGGTTTATTTCTTAGGTTAATATTCTGACTTTGTCAAATAAGATAACTTGCATAGGCTAGACACTGGAGGTAAGAGAGCCATTGGGAGTGTACAAACTAAAGTTCAGGTTGACTATCCATAATCATGAATTGTTACTTATAATAGTGGCTCTACCACCTGATAAAGAGATTTTTTTTAATAATTAAAAAAATTTTTTATAAACATATAATGTATTTTTAGCCCCGGGGTAAAGGTCTATGAATCGCCAGGTTTACACACTTCACAGCGCTCACCATAGCACATACCCTCCCCAATGTCCATAACCCTACCACCCTCTCCCTACCCCTCTCCTCCTGGCAACCCTCAGTTTGTTTTGTGAGATTAAGAGTCTCTTACGGTTTGTCTCCCTCCTGATCCCATCTTGTTTCATTTATTCTTTTCCTACCCCCCAACCCCCCATGTTGCCTCTCCACTTCCTCATATCAGGGAGATCATATGATAGTTGTCTTTCTCCAATTGATTTATTTCGCTAAGCGTAATACCCTCTAGTGCCATCCATGTTGTTGCAAATGGCAGGATTTCGTTTCTTTTGATGGCTGCATAGTATTCCATTGTATGTATATATCTATCTATCTATCTATCTATCTGTATGTATACCACATCTTCTTATCCATTCATCCATTGACGGACATCTAGGTTCTTTCCATAGTTTTTCTATTGTGGCTATTGTGGACATTGCTGCTATAAACATTCGGGTGCACGATTTTAATAGAATTTAAACTGTTTTGGGGGGCTTGGTTGGCTCAGTCGGTTAAGTGACCAACTCTTGATTTCGGCTCAGGTCATGATCTCAGGATCTCATGATCTCAGGCTCAGATGGAGCCCGGGCTGGGCTCTGCACTGGGTGTGGAATCTGCTTAAGATTCTTTCTCTCCTTCCTCCCCAACCCCCCTCCAAAAAAAAGAACACAAAAAGCTGTCTTGGATTTTATCTGTGACTTTGGATCTTCCAGTGCTTTTATGAGGTATTAGCGCCTTTCATCTTCCCTTCTGCTATCTGTCGGATCTCTCTAAGAGGCTATGTTTGTATTGTCATAGGTGGTGCTGGTGGTACTCAGTTTTTCTGATCTCTAGCAGTCCAGATTTCATTTCTCTTCAATACTTAGTCTTTTATGAGTTTGCGTTTCCTCTCGTGGACAGATTCTTCTGTTTTGACAGGAAGGCAGGAAGAGAGGCGGAGCCAATCAAGAACTGTCCATTCCTGCTTGGGTAAAGAATGGCTACTGCTCACATGTTATAACAATGTCCTTACGGGGGCTTCTCCTGAGACTTAAAACCAACACAGATTTATCTGAGCAGCGTGTAATCATACATTGTGGCAAAAACATTAACTAAATGTATGAAATGATGGTATGAACATCACAAACAAATACAGATATATCACTATACTTCTTCTTGGCCCTTGGGCTCCATTTACAGGGGAAGCTCTCTCTCACCAGAACAGCCATGGCTCTTTCTCTGTCCTGTTACTCTCACACTCTCTTTTCTGTCCTGCAAGGGGCTCTCGATGTCTTGCAAGGTCCACATATGTTTCACCTCAGTCCTCAGAACCTATTTACTATATTCCCAGAGTTCTCCTGGCCAGGATATCTTATGGGGGCCCTTTCTCTTCTTGCTGCTTTCCCTTTTACTCATTTTGCCTGTTTCCTTTTTCTCTTCTGTGGTTTTTCTCCTTCTTTGGCAGCCTGCTCCATGCCTTTCATCATCTGTGACTTGGTGCTCACCAAGCCCTTCTCAGGCCCCCTCCATTCAAGTGGGCATGCTCTCTGGCTGGTGGGTGCCCCTCGGACCCACTCTCAGGCCACTTTTGTTGTTATGGATTACAACTTCCTTGTTCTCCTGTTTTCCCTCCGCAACTCCCCTCCCATCCCCTCCCCCCATCTGCTTTGGTTAAATCCTCCTGAAGGTTCTGGCCTTTGTGTTGAAAGCTGCTTTCTGGTCTAAAAGACAACTGGTTTCTGCTGAATATAAACTTTTAATTATTTTCCCTCAGAATATACTATCTCTTCGGAGGGAGAGAATCGACTTCCAGGCTGAATGCCATCATCTCTGTAAATATGGTCAACCTTTGCTTGCATAGAACTTTAAAACACATTTTATTTTATTATTTTATTTTATTTTATACAAGGAAGTGGTTCAGTGAGTTCATGAGGAAGTATACAGTGTAAGCCAGAAAGAGAAATAAATATATACTGTGCTAGGTTGTGATAAATATTGACAGCCCAGACTGAAGTATATTTATTTGTTCCCAGAACGCATAGCAGTGGAATGTGGTATGTGCTAGGTTCCGTGGACATGAAGCAGTAGGAGGCACACTCTCCGTCTGTCTGCAAGAAGGCAGTCTGGTTGGAGGGACAAACATGCATAGGGATGGGAGGATTACGGTGATTATGGTGATTACGGTGATGGTGATTACAGTGAGGTAGAATGGGTGCCCTGAGACAGACAGGGGAAGTAATCCTGAAAGCCCAGATACGAATGTAAGTTATTCTGACCCAGCCCAGGAAGGGGCTCTGCAGGGGATGAGGGGTGGGAGCCTCAGTTAGCCAGCCTGAGAACTGCAGAAAGGCTGGAACCCAGCCGCCCTCTCAGGCTGGCATCCCACCTGGTTTGCAAGCCGCGGCACGCCACTTTCCGCTCAGTTACAGAGTTTATGGGAGTCGTTCGACTTGAGCTACGCGATCTTGGAGAGCTTGCCCAAATTTCAGGGATCCACGTTGTCCAGACAACAGAAGCATCTATGAGATGCTTGAGAGTTGTTCTCCAGAGGTCATGGGTTGCTGTTTCCCATGTCAAGTCGACACTTTCCCTTGACAGCGGTAACATCTGTTTCTCTGCTGACTCCGCTGTGAGTACGTTGAAAGGGACACAGGCGTTGGTTCAGGGCAGCCTGCGACTTGTAAGGAATTTCATATGGAGAGAATTCGACTCTGTGGTTCCGAAATTAGGGTGAAGAGGAAGTTGCTTTTATTACTGTGGCATAAGAGGCCCCTCTGCCCTCAATTTCTCTTTCTATTTCTAATTTGTAACCATTTCCTGACCGACTTTTGTGTTGTATGCCTTCTCGTAAGTTCCCTGATGCTTCCAATCAGTTAGTTACTGTCCAGGGCTGCACCGGGCAGGCCCGGCATCCCTGCACCTGCGCTCAGACCACCAGTAGATCACATGGGGGCTGTAGCGGGCTGGCCAGGGCACATGGAACTGCTCAACCCCGTGTCCTCTGCCACGACGATCATGCGCTGGGGGCCTGCCCGGCTCGCTCCTCTCATTTTCCTTGTCAGCATGACCAAGATCAAAGTGCAAGACGGCTGCATAAATGATAACCTAGAACTTGGCCCCAACACAGAGGCTGCGATCAGGGCAATGTCCCCCATCACACTTTCCCCAAAGGCACGGAAGGAAAAGGGCAAATTATGTTTAAGTACAGCCTTTCTCACAAGGCCGCTTCCAAGCACCCCCCTCGCTTTGTTTCCTGAAGCCATCAGAGTCATATTAATCAATTGGTTCAGGGATTTGAGATTTCCTGACCTAATCACAGGATTTGGGACATACTGATTTCTGTTTATGTGAAGCAGTGGCCGTGATTGCAACATCTGTACCTGGCTGAGCTCACATCGGTCCTTCCATATTTGGGGATTGAGATGGTTCTAGCCGTTCTCCTTAAGGGTGGCGGTGAATGATCTCTGCTTGGGTTGTGAGTAGAAGGTAATTTACTTCAGGAATGCATTTTGTTTAAAACAATTCTGACAAACAATATTCATAACGGCAACGCTAATTTAAGGAAGTGATCAGACAGGTAATAATTACCTTTGGGCTTGTGTTCCAGGTTTAAAAAAACAAACAAAAAAACCTTACAGTGTTCCTGAGTTTACTTAAGTCATGCTATATACTTCCTCTCTTCAAGATGAATATTGGTGCCTTAAAGAAAGCGAGACCAGGGCTGGGGATATAGCCTAAAATTAGGGAATGACTGGGAGTTGAATGAAAGAAGTCACTCTTTTAGAAAAATAACACAAGTTTCAGTTAGCAAAATTTCTAGACTTGTTCTCTAGATGGACCCTGCCTCTGCGATCATGCATCACATGCAGTAGGCCTGGAAAGTTGAGACTGAATAATGCAGCTCTTGCTTAATGCCATCATAAGTGTTTAGTGTTTTCTTTATCAATATGTTTAATTATATTTTATAACAGATGATAATTCCTCCCTAGGTTCCCAGACATCCCAGCTAGTCCACATGACTATTCTCGTCCCTTTCTGAAAACAGGTATCTCTCTATTACTATCTACATAATCTCTAGCTCCGTGTATCTACCTACATGCACACAGATTGATGTACCATTAACTGGTAGTGGAGAGCGGAAGTGTAGATGCTGCCATGCTCCTGTCACCTTTACTAAGCTGCCATGTTTGTGCGCGTGTGTGTACGTGTGCATGCACTCATGGGCATGCACACTTGATCTTGTACATACCGTCATTGCCGTCGGCTGGGCTGCATTTCAAATACTCTGCTTCCTTTCTCAAAAATGCCGGTATGTTTTGGAAATGCTGAGGCTGATCCCAGTCAGTATGCACCATCCCAGGTAGTGAGTCAACGTGGCCCCGGGACTCAGACAACTCAGGTTAGGTCTTGCAGGTGGATTCTTGGTGAACTGGACGCTTACCTTCTCTGGGTCTCATGTTTTGCACCTGTAAAATGGTGACACTAATGAATACCACAGAGGGTTTTTACAAGGATTAAATTAAAAGCTGTAATGTATGGAGAGACATGGCTTTAGTGCTTTGAATGCTGGCCCTGGAGTTGGCATATATGGATTTACATCCTGGCTTTGCTTCTTAAAAGCTGTGTAATGTCAGACAATTCATTTAATCCTCTGTGTCTCAGAAAAAAAAAAAAAGACATAAGACATATAAAGAGCATAGAGCCTGGCACATAGTAAGCACTCATCAAATATTTGCTATTTTTATTTAATTGTAGCAGCTATGCAGATGTTAACTTCCTTACGATGGGCTGATAGTAAGGCAATGTCTGACTCTGAGGGCGAGTGGTTTCCTAAACCTGTTCTAACAACTGATCTAAAGAATTTAGTGGCATGCCAATTAGCATTTTATTTTATAACCTGCAGACTTTCTGAGGAAGGGAATGTATTTGCAGGCTTAAGCCAAAAGTGTGATCGCATGCGTGTGTCTTAAGGACACCTGGAGTCATTCAGCTTGTCCACATTTCAAGAACGCTTTGATGGTAACTGTGAGAGTTCAGTAGCTTCTCTGTGGGGATAGTTTTAATGACTGTTGTTCTGTGGGTAAGAATGAATTTTCCGTTTCAGAAAAAAAAAAAAAAATCAGACGTTTGTAGAGGAGTTGTTTCACCTTAATTGATATCTTCAGTCTGCAGAAAAACGTTTCCTTGTCATTCCTTAGTTAAGTATTTGCCAATTTTATCTCTAGAATTTTCTATGTTTTTTTCTACTTTTCCACAGTTCTACTTCTGAGCCTCCTAAGAGGTTTCCCTTCTTCCGGGATCTTTTCTCTGTAAGTCTTTTTGCATATCTTGTCAGAGACACTTACTAAAGCTCAGGCTCTATTCATTTCATGGCCTGGCCTAATGGTTCCTCATCCTCACCTAGGATGCCTATCCCCAAAACCATATTTCCAAGACTCCTTTCTGCATATCCTGTCCCACTAAACTATGCTATTCTTTCCTAAAACACAATTTTATATATTATTATTATTTTATGGGGGGAGAGGAAGGGTGGGAGAGGCAGAAAAATAATCTCTCCCTTTGAGGTAGCCTCAGTCTCATGACCTTGAGATCATGACCTGATCCAAAATTGAGTCAGATGCTTACCAACTGAGCCTCCTAGGCGCCCCCATACTTTTATATGTTGTATATTTATGGTCATTTCTAAGCTGTTTGTTTATAAGAATTATGTGAGCTTTCATATAGTGTTTGATTTGCAATTTCAAACTATGGTGGTGCTGCCAGACCTCATCTATTGGCATGAACTGTTAGCCTGTCATTTTCTAAGTATTGTGAGCTGCTGGAGCTGCCTCAGACCCCAAGGAAGGAGGAGGAGTAAGAACTTTTAGAACTCCTTGGAGACAGAGATGGGGAATGGCCCCCATGGTGGTCCACACCCTTCCCTCTGATCAGCAAAATTGTTCCTCTGTCATTTTTTCTTTTTTCATTGAATTTACCTCATGTTTCTGCAATAGCTGAGCTTCGAGCTTGTAGGTCCCAAATGGCTGCTCTCCATTATGGCTATCCCTTCTTCTAGTTCAAGATCCACTTTTATCCTGTGCTATTATTCTTCAGCTAGAGAATAGATAGACAGGGGTGAAGAGAGGGAGTAGGGGAGTGTGGTGGTGGGCAGGCAGCAGAGTCAGTGACAACCTAGTGCACCTGCAGCTCAGGGGAGCTTCCATGGGGCAGAAGTCGAGGTGGTGGTAGAACGTGTCCCACCACCTTGGCCATGCTTTGGAGTCACCTGCATGGCTTACTGAAATAGAATGTTGGACTCCATTGCTGAGTGTCTGATTCAGGTAGGTCTGGGGTGGGGGCTGAGATTTTGCATTTCGAAACACTTTTTTGGGGAGCTCGTTATATTCGGTAGTACAGTGTTGATGAACACTGCCTGATCGTGAAGGTGCACTGTGCTGTCATTCCTCTGTGGGGTTGCTCTGTAGTTCGATTGACCTTGAGGGCTCTCTCCAAAGCTTGCCATTTGTTACACTCAGGTTGAACGCCACTTCTTTAGTGATCTTTTTTTTTTTTTTCAAGATTTTAGTTATTTATTTGACACAGAGAGAGAGATCACAATTAGGCAGAGAGGCAGGCAGAGAGAGAGGGGGAAGCAGGCTCCATGCTGAGCAGAGAGCCTAATGTGGGGCTTGATCCCAGGACCCTGAGATCATGACCTGAGCTGAAGGCAGAGGCTTAACCCACTGAGCCACCCAGGTGCCCCCTCTTTAGTGATCTTTTGTGAGTCCCTCAACCAGGGCATAAAACAGTTGTTCTCTTCAATTTCTTAGCAATGTATTTGCCCCTCATAGTAATTACCACCATCTACACTCTATAAAGTAGGCATGTCTTGACTTTGCTACTTGAAGGCAAATGTATTAGTCTCATTTATCTAAGTTCTTCAAGTGTTTTCTATAGTGCTTTACACACACGAGGTTCTGTTGCTAGGCTCTGCCTACATCTCCTTGATCTGTTTGGAGATTTACCACCCCTGTGTATCTATCCTCTAGCTTCTGTATGCTTTGTTCCTACCAACCTGAAGTTCTTACTTTCTCTAGAGGACTAACCTTGAGCTACTTGAGCTGCTTACCTCAGACACGTGAAGAGCTATGATTTTCTGAAAGTTCACACCCCCAGCAGAGTGACTTGTAGCTAGTGACTTGTAGCACAAAAATCCTTTCCTTGAGGTGGACACACACACACTCCACAGCTCTCACCAGATCAGGCTGAGACAGGGACCTGACCTGGAATCAAACTCTTGTTTGTCATCTTCTCCTTCCCTATCCTGTCCTGACTCCCTTAATGGGTTGCTCCTAGGAGCACTTCCTGAATAAATCACTGATACATGCATGAGCTCTTGTCTCAGGGCCTGCTTCTGGGGAACTGGCAGGCATTGTGTAAATGCCTAAGGAATGAGTGCTTGAAAAGGAATATAACATCATAGTTGGAGCTTGGGCTCTAGAGCTGCACTGCCTGGATTCAAATCCCAGTTCTGCTACTTAATGAGCTCTGTGACCTTAGGCAAGTTATTTAACCTCT